CCTCAGGTTTCCTCTGGTGGTTACACCTCCATCAATAATGTGCGAGACCCAGACTACCCAAGTCCCCGAGACAAGATGGAGAGCTTCTTCCTGGGAGAAACCCTGAAATATCTGTACCTGCTATTCTCAGATGACCCCAACCTCATTAGCCTCGACCAGTATGTATTCAACACTGAGGCTCACCCCCTGCCTATATGGCCTTCCACTGCGTGAGACACGCGCGCACACACACGAATTCCAGTGGTAGATAAAACTGTGTATAAACAAGACAAATATCTCAGGGTTGGTTTAATACCAAGAGAATTCCTTCGTCTTCAGTTTCAGTAACTGAATATTGTGATAAAACAACAACCTTGACGGGAAAAAAAGCCTACTTTTCACTGATCGAATCAACTGTTCGCTATGAGCTGATGACAGGAGCCTGGTTCAGTTCGTGGTTTGTTTATTTATTTGCCTGGTGGATTTCATTGCGTGGTTTCGTAGTGAGTTTATACTGGAAGCAGAGGAAGGTTTCTGTCCTGACTGCCCATCAGCAGTAAAGAAAAACCTGATTGTGACTGAACTGAAGATTTCTCAGTCTCATGTTCCCGGGATGAGGAGGAGTGTCGGGTTGGACTGATAGGTGTTTGAAAGCTTATACTGATATTTTCAGTTGAAGGTTTTGAGCTTTTGCAGTTGTATTCTTATTAAAGTGTAAATGCTTCTGAAACTGCATCTAAACGTTTATGAAACAAAGCCAATATCTGCCCCTGTGGTCTGACCCCAGAGCTGGGAATGACCGCAGGCTGGCTGCCTTCGTAGCAAATCGTTTCCTGACAGCAGCCACCAGCTGTCTGAACTAAAACCAACCCCTGCCTGCTGCATCTACAGCCTGACCGCTCCGCTGACATGTCTGTACATAGGTGTGACTTTTGCAGGGATATGAGAAAAAGCTAATTACTCATCACACTGTGTGTAATATAGTCAACAAGGGCTCTGGCTCTGAATCCTCAAATGTCCTCTTTCTTATGCTGTCCATGTATTTGCTGTCCTGCTGCGTTCATGTCATATAGGAAATATGACTTTACAATGAAATATCTCTGTTTAGCAGTGCTGGGAGCAGCCTTCAGATCCTTTACTTAAGTAAAAGTACAGAAATATTTCTGCCAAATATATTAAAAGTGAAAGTACTCATGGCTCCATATGAAGGACCGAATTATTGTCTTCAACCTGGAAACCCAAAAGCTGTATATAAGGGGGCAATTATTAGCTGTGTTATTCAGTGTGCAGGGAAGACATGGCAAATGAATTGGTGAATTCTTGAGGCACAATTTAAATTTTCCATTTTCACCAGTTATCTAAGATGTCTTAGTAAATGCTTTAATAAATCCATTAATTACAATGTATGAACCCTTTTTTAATATCCCTAATAAGACATACTTTAGTGGTACCCAACATTTTAATATTGCATCCAGTGGAGCTGACCTACTTTCAAATGCTGTGCAGTTTTTGTAACAACGCATCATATTTTATAAGTTTTATAGTATGTTTGTCTTGCATGTAAAATCTTAATCTGAAAAGTAAGCAGTAACTCCAGAGGAGAGAGAAATGTACATTTTCCCCTAATTAAACTGTAGAGGTAGCCTGGCATTAGACTGGAACCTCTCCGTTCATTTAAAATTTCCAAGGGGCGTTATCGATGGGCACAGACCAAAATGCCTCTGGACGCAATTCAATAGACCTACAACCAATCAGTAACAAATGTGGTCAAATTATGGTAAACAGTACACTAAAATGTTTCTGAAAACATTTGAGGAAGGAAAGTAGGCAATGCAGTAACAGAATCTTTATTCATATGCCAGTTTGTGTTGGATACCGGTCCAGCCCTACAACCAATCAGAGCAGAGAAACGTGACTTTTCTTAAATCTTTTTCTAGCATTGCTTTAATTCAAAACTTGAAAATGCATAATAATAAATCTTTATTTAATCATGGTCTATCAGGTATTCGCCACAAACACAGCAATCATATAGTACTATTTTTGACAGTAAAAAAAAGTGTATTTTTAAACTAGTTATCTTGGTGAGTTCTCATAACTACACATAACAAATGATACAGAACATCCGTTATGAAAAGAATATCGGCCAATGTTTCAGATTTTAAAACCCTCAAGTATCAAAATCGTTATCAATCTTAAAAATCCCCCTTCGGTCGGGCCATAGTTGCTATTCAGTTAAACTCAGTTTATTCCCACTGACATGAACGCAGCATCAGATGATCATGGTTTGATGATTCCAGATGTAGTTATGAACTGTGAAGCTTTTGTTTTGAGGCCACCCCCATGGGTTCATGTGTCTGTGCTGAGCAGCTGCTCCTTAATGTTTGCGTCTTTATAATTTTGCCATTTTCCTGGTGTAGAGTACATTTGCTTTCCTTTCAAGAAATGAATTCTTTTTAAATATAAATCTAGCATAATATATTGATTTGTAGTGTATAATTGCAGCTACCTGAATACAGTGAGCTCTCTTGTGCATTTGTTTTTTGTAGCCACAGCTTGCAGTCATTCATGTAAATATTACTAGTTTACGTATAGCTCTACTTGTAGGTGTTTTTTAAGAATTTGTATTGAGACCAAGCTCATGCTGTACATTCTTTGTAGTGTTTTCTTGTCTCACTTATGCCTTTTTAACGTTGCTTCAGACAACTGTCCGTTCGTTTCCATTTCTATCCATTCCAGAGATTTGTACATGTGCATACATTTCCTACAGTACAAGGTTACTCTGATCACTGCTTTTACAGTAGAACAGTGAAATAAGGATTGATATTTTAGAGAAATTAGGTTTACATAATGCTCATCTCTACCAGAGTGTGCATTTAAATCCTGCCTACAAGGGCTCTGTGTGGTCCCTCCCTGGATGTATTTCAGCAGTATTTTTGAGCCAAAGATATGTTGAAAATCTAATCGGCCCTGTGGTTTGCTTTGTATGGGCTTTCACCATGAAAAGCCATTTCTCCAAAGCCGCCTCTTTCAGGAAAACACAAAGGAGATTTTTTGTGCTTTTGATAACAATTTCGCTAGTGAGAGTTTTGAAGGCTAACACTACTATATTTAGACTTAAGTGACTGATTCACTTATAGTTTAGTCAAAGCCACCAAGCAGACTGCTTTTAATAGGAGGCTGCACACAGAGACATCATTATTTAGTCTTCATGATCAGTGCATAAAACTTTGGTTTTCATCATAAAGTAATTTACAGTGGCCACCAGAATGTAAAGTGGCAAAAGTGTACTTTTGCCAGAATAGAAAGATTCAAACGTCATGTAGACCATCATATCAAGTGCAAGAGAAATACAGCATTTATAAACTTAACTCACATAGCTGAAAAGTTAAAAGCTCCATCTTGGAGCAGCTGGTATAGTTGGGAGGATTACTCCTTCATTTACAGGGCTCCAAATGAATTATGGGTACTGAATTATTTTTTTTTCCAGGGCTTAAGAAGTTTGTTACTGTGTGAACAAACACTGCCTATTATTTTGGGTTACTGTCATAGACAAACATGTTAAAACTAGAGCCCAACCGATATGAGGTAATTGCAGATAACTTGGTATGTCCGTTTTTGCCAGTAAATGACAATCATCATAATAATGTTGAGTGTTGTCGTAGCATAGTTTGTCCAGGAGAAGGCACTCTGCAACTCCCTGTTGGCAATCTACCACAAAACACAGCGGACAAAATCAACTGTACTTTTGTTCAAAGTAGTATATATAACAGTAAAAAAAAATTTTAAACTGTTTTTTTTTAAACAGTTATCTTGGTGAGGTCAAAATCTGTATCGGTCGGGCTTCAGTTAAAACGTTTTGGTCTTGAAGCATTTGCAAATACTGATGCAATTACATATGAACATGTTCACGTTATTAGATTTACTGTAAATAGAAGATGGTGTTAGTGAGAGAAATGTTTACAGAAATACTGAAACCACTCATGCAGCATAATCATCCTCACCTGACTGCTCAGTGTGTTCCAAACTGCCACAGTTTTACCCAAATAGTCTTTACACAGCTTGTGACAGGTTCGAAGAGGCTGACAGACAAAACCAGTCACCATTAGAATCCAATGAAAGTGGGTCTAAGCTGGATATGCCTGTTTGGGGATGTCTGATACTTAAAGAATATCTTTAGTGTAGTGTCTTCAGCTTTACTGTGCTGAGGTGTTGACAGACCAGAATCTCTCCTGGAGACTTTCTGAAAAGTAGAAATCAGAATCCAGTAAATGTTTCAAAGACATTGTTACAAACTGCAGTTTGTCTGTGTCAGACCTGACATGTCCTACATCAGTCTGAAGTCTGGTGGGGTTTTTTTTTCAAACAAATGTTTTGTCACCTGGTGTATAATAAACGCTGGATCAGCTTTAGTTTTGTACAAAAAAAATTAAACATTTTATTAACAGAAACAGAACATTTGTGTCGATGATTGACTCAGGAAACACAGCAGGTCTGCAGTAGAAGCAATATTGTACTGTATTTGGATTGACTTCATGGATCTTAAAGATGATTTGTAATTTTTCTAAGCTAACACGTCCAGATTTATAGGTTCCAGCTTCTGGACCAGGCCCTCCTGTAAATAGAAGCTGTTTTTCAATAATCTTCCATGATTAATGGAATACATTTGAGTTTGGACTGCTGGTTGGACAAAACAAGCAATTTGAAAAAAAAATAAATCAGTGAAACTTGAGAAAATGGCGGTGGGCATGTTTGTTTGTAATCCTGTTGCCTTTGTAGAATCTTGAAATGTGATGAACAATGCAAAACATGATTTGTAGTTTAATGATTTTCATTAAACTATCACTACCATCCAGGATCAGTTTTAATATTCAGCAGATGTAAGCTGACCCTCCATTCCTGCTGTGTATTGTATTGTGGGCCAGCAACAACTTGAAGATGAATTCTGGTACAATTGTATTAGAAGGGACTTATTTGATTTGAAAGAAATAACTGGTTTTATGTTCAGTCCTGAGACACTCAGATCCGTGCTTTTAAGTTGACTGTCTTAATCTGGTCCGCTCCATCTTCACCCACTGTACAATGAGGTCTGCTTCCATCTTCCTGGCACTGATAACTGACACTGGATCAGCATCATTAGACCCTCTGTATAAAACAGGAAAATGTCAAATTAGATTTTGCTTTGAGAGTTTAAAAAAAAAAAAAAAGTAAAGGACTACTCTCCAGGGGCTAACAGCTTGCTGTACCTGAGATCCAGATGATGGGCTCCTCCAGAAATGTTGACAGCTATTAGTGAGGAGCTCAAGGACTTGCGTACCTGTACAGCAGAGAGCTGATTGATTTAGACTGAAAGCAGTGACTTCACGGTTTACTTAAGTGTACTTTCTTGGTTTAATCTCTTACCCCTCCATTTGCCCATGGGTCCAGATCTCCATTGGAGAAAATAATGTTGCTGGCTGTAGAGAGGGCTGTAGAAAGGGGAAAGCTCATCAGAAACAAAAACCACCTGTCTTTCACTGCCACAGTTTCTGTGACTCTCTAAATAAAAGAGTGCCTCCATGATAGGAAAGGGCAGTACACCAGTGTCATAGACCTCATCAGTGTGATGACGTGCCACACATGGATTTTGCAATTCCGTCATTGCCATGATAAAACAGTAATTCTAAAAATAAGCCTATCTTGTTGCAAATAAAAGACAGAACATGTGTGTTACTTAATATAAACTGTATAAAGAGCTAGTGGCCCTTACATTAGTTACGAAATAAATAAAGAGAACTGGTGAAAACAGGGGAAGAAAGAATGGGCCTATAGCCTTTTGTTTGAAAAGAGATGACTGCGCTTTGCATGTTCTCCCTGCGTTTGCGTGGGTTTCCCCCGCCATCAAACACGTTAGGTTAATTCTCCTGTATATGTTGCACACATGCATAGCCTGTCAGGATATATTTTTTTTGACAATATAGAAATGTGCAATAAATGATTTAATTAATTTGCATCACAAACACATTAGCACAAAATTTTTCTATTAAGATATTTATTTTGTTGAGATTTTACTTTATTTTACTCATGCATATTTCTTGAAAAAAAGCTTTACCAATGAATGTAGGTAGGGCTAAGGAGCAAAAATCAGCCTTTAAGCTTGAAAGAAAATGATTTGACATTAATCATTATCACTGGACTGCTTCACCATCTTCTTCATCGACGACTGGAATATGCGCAGCAAATGCCTTCAGACCTTCTTCCCCAATCAGACAGGAGCAGTAATTGTGCACAGACTGAAGGGAACACTTTCTGCCTCGCGTATTGGACACAGACTTCACATTACTATTGGTAAGTTGCACCAATTCAAACCCATAGCCTGAATATATAACATACTTAGGGTTTTCAGCACAAAAAAGTGCTATTGAGAAGCATAATACTCTCCCATGTCTCCCTTCAAGGATCCATACTATTTACATATTAACAAAATATTAATTCAGAGTTATCTTTGATCAGGAGATATCCTTTATCTCTCACATTAAACAATCATCAAGGACCGCCTTTTTTCACCTACATAATATTGTAAAAATCAGGAACATCTTGTCTCAAAATGATGCAGGAAATCTAGATGCATTTGTTACTTCTAGGCTGGATTACTGCAATTCCTTATCAGGCTGCTCAAATAAGTCCCTTAAGACTCTCCAGCTGATCCACAATGCTGCGGCACATGTACAGACAAGAACCAGGAAAATACACATTTCTCCTTTTTTAGCTTCTCTGCATTGGCTTCCTGTAAAATCCAGAATAGAATTTAAAATCATTCTTCTTACCTACAAAGCTCTTAATGGTCAGGCACCATCTTATCTTAAAGAGCTCGTAGTATCTTACTACCCCACCAGAGCACTGCGCTCCCAGAATGCAGGGTTACTTGTGGTTCCTAGAGTCTCCAAAAGTAGACTAGGAGCCAGAGTGTTCAGCTATCAAGCTCCTCTCCTGTGGAACCAGGTTCCAGTTTGGGTTCAGGAGGCAGACACCATCTCCACATTTAAGAGTAGGCTTAAGACTTTCCTCTTTGATAAAGCTTATAGTTCAGGTGAGTCCTGAAATGAGGTCCTCTCTCCTCCTTTCCCTCTTCATTTGTATGCATTCTTGTCCCATTAATGCATGTTACTAACTCGACTTCTTCCCTCCCCTAGTCTGCTTTGTGTGTGCTTTCTCGTCCCTCTCCTCTCTCCTTCTGTTGCTTCCTGCAGGTGTTTCTGGCTCCAGAGCTGTGGGGTATGGATCTGTGGGCTTCCTGCTGCCCCCGTGTTCCTGCTCGACACCCAATGCCACAATTATTATAGATCTATTGTTAGGGCCCGAGGACACTATTACTGTTTTTTTCCACATGAATCACTTTTTTGACGGTCTAAAGGTGCTCTAAAACTCACATGTAAGAAGTGGCCAAAATGTACATTAATTTGTCATTTGGTTCTCGCAAAACTGCCCCTACAAAAGCCCCTACACCACAATTGACCTAGATGTACAAAATGTTTGTGGCACACGTATCATTGTGCTACTGTCTTTCCTCCTGCCCCCCTGTCCACCACAGCACATGAATGTTGATAAACGAGCAATCACTCTGCACAGTGAGGCTCAGACATCCTAATGAAGAAACACAACAAAACACATCTGACTGACTTACAAATATCACAAGTGTGTGTATTGGAACAGATCCAATGTACCCAAATCCCATTACTTTCAATTTCTAGATTACACCTCTTGATACCATGATATTTCTGGACAGTATGGTGTGCTTAGTAGTATCTAGTGCTCACCATCACCCCAGAACTGGGTTTTGAGCCACTCTGGTCGTGGAACCACAGCCCAGCGCTTGGAGCAGTAAAGTACACGGTCTGTCTCAGTGAAGCCCATGGGAGGAAACATGTCCGTCACATTATTGCTCTCATAGCACAGATCAATTTCTGTGCAAGCCTGCAACCAGAACAGAAGAAGGGGTTAGTGTTAGTATGCTAATCAGTTTGAAGATAAAGCACCATAGATGAACGGGATATTTATTTTGTCAATGACATTCCATCCATCAAAAATGGAAATACAAAACAAAAATCTTTATTGTAATGTTTTTTTTTTAAATCATTACCATTTTATTTAAATAAATCATTTACATGTCAAAACTCAGAATGCATTGTGTGTTCCATTGTAATGGATAACAATAACAATTTTCAGTGGTTATTCCATTACAAATGATTCACCTCAATCATCCAGGAAGAACATCAATTCAAGACAAAATGAAACTATCCCTGTATGAAGGTTTCCTGTTCAGAAGACACCAGAAGGCAGGTGTGAGGTGGTTCTCCATGAGCGTGAAGTGTACAAAATATAAATGTACATATCTAGTATGTCTGAATTTCAACCAGGACTAAATGCTATTGGTACTGGTATCAACAGATCAGGTGTATCTACCTACACCAAATACAACAGAAGGTACTTCATACTCCTCCAGATGCTAAATTGTTGAGTTGACTGATACCAACCTGAAATTATCATATACTGACATTTTGATCAGATTACATGCAAGTACTTAATGCTGTGTGTTGGTGGTGGTGTTGGAGTACCTGATAGTCCCAGGCCAGGCTGTCGAAGCCCAGTCCACAGCCAGTGGGATCAGCACACTCCAAATACAAACTGTACAGGTCAAAACAGCTCAGCACCTGTGGAGTTGTACACAATCCCTGCACGAAAATGCAATTAGAAATACAAGTTAAGGAAAATCGTTTACTGTGCAAAGGATGAGAGGTCTTATCTTCACAGGTCTGTCCAAATACCACGAAAGTTGGGCCAGCAGTTTACCTAGGCAGAGGCAAAATTTGGCCCTAATCAGCCTTTTGTTGCAAAATCATTAAATATGGTATGGTTATTTTTCCAAACTACTCTTTTTCTTAAATTATATGTTTTCCATCTCAGTGCTTTGGGCCATGCAACTGCAGGTTTGCGTTTGGCTTGTAAGCACATAGTATGTCACACATCAAAAAACCTTTATCTAGGCATCCCTGCATGAGCTGCATCTCCTGATACATTTAGACCCCCCCCCTCACAAAATCAAGTTTTAATAGAACAACTTCCTGCAAACTGCAGTGAAAACAGACCACATATGGAGATATGACATCACTTCTGCCTGATTTACACAAAACAAAGCTTTTTTTAAATAAAAAGTCAATGTTCATTTCCCACCTGCAGTCTTCCTGAGGTTGGTGAGCAGGTCAGATCACTCAGCATGGTTTCACAGGCCACCTGAACAAAGTCATGTATACATCACTTTCAACTGCAGCCTCCTGTTAAAACATCTGGAACAGATCTGTCTTGCCATATCTGCTCATTTACGTATACCCCACCTACAGTGAGGAAAATAAGTATTTGAACACCCTGCTATTTTTAAGTTCTCCACTTAGAAATAATGGGAGGGGTATGAATTGTCATCGTAGGTGCATGTCCACTGTGAGAGACATAATCTAAAAAAAAAAAAAAAAAATCCAGAAATCACAATTCATATTCACTCATTTTTTAACTATTTGTATGATACAGCTGTAAATAAGTATTTGAACACCTGTCTATCAGCTAGAATTCTGACTCTCAAAGACCTGTCAGTCTGCCTTCAAAATGTCCACCTCCACTCCATTTATTATCCTAAATTAGATGCACCTGTTTGAGGTTGTTAGCTGCAGAAAGACACCTGTCCACCCCATACAATCAGTAAGAATCCAACTACTAACATGGCCAAGACCAAAGAGCTGTCTAAAGACACTAGAGACAAAATTGTACACCTCCACTGGGCTGGAAAGGGCTACGGGGAAACTGCCAAGCAGCTTGGTGAAAAAAGGTCCACTGTTGGAGCAATCATTAGAAAATGGAAGAAGCTAAACATGACTGTCAATCTCCCTCGGACCGGGGCTCCATGCAAGATCTCACCTCGTGGGGTCTCAATGATCCTAAGAAAGGTGAGAAATCAGCCCAGAACTACACGGGAGGAGCTGGTCATGACCTGAAAAGAGCTGGGACCACCGTTTCCAAGGTTACTGTTGGTAATACACTAAGACGTCATGGTTTGAAATCACGCATGGCACGGAAGGTTCCCCTGCTTAAACCAGCACATGTCAAGGCCCGTCTTCAGTTTGCCAATGACCATTTGGATGATCCAGAGGAGTCATGGGAGAAAGTCATGTGGTCAGATGAGACCAAAATAGAACTTTTTGGTCATAATTCCACTAACCGTGTTTGGAGGAAGGTTCACTTGAGCAGGTAGCATCATGCTTTGGGGGTTTTTCTGCACATGGGACAGGGCGACTGCACTGTATTAAGGAGAGGATGACCGGGGCCATGTATTGCCAGATTTTGGGGAACAACCTCCTTCCCTCAGTTAGAGCATTGAAGATGGGTCGAGGCCGGGTCTTCCAACATGACAATGACCCGAAGCACACAGCCAGGATAACCAAGGAGTGGCTCTGTAAGAAGCATATCAAGGTTCTGGCGTGGCCTAGCCAGTCTCCAGACCTAAACCCATAGAGAATCTTTGGAGGGAGCTCAAACTCCGTGTTTCTCAGCGACAGCCCAGAAACCTGACTGATCTAGAGAAGATCTGTGTGGAGGAGTGGGCCAAAATCCCTCCTGCAGTGTGTGCAAACCTGGTGAAAAACTACAGGAACGTTTGGCCTCTGTAATTGCAAACAAAGGCTACTGTACCAAATATTAACACTGATTTTCTCAGGTGTTCAAATACTTATTTGCAGCTGTATCATACAAATAAATAGTTAAAAAATAATACATTGTGATTTCTGGATTATTTTTTTTAGATTATGTCTCTCACAGTGGACATGCACCTACGATGACAATTTCAGACCCCCCCCATGATTTCTAAGTGGGAGAACTTGCAAAATAGCAGGGTGTTCAAATACTTATTTTCCTCACTGTATATTTTATTTATGTTACAGATGTTTTATTATCTGAAGGTAGATTTTTATTCTTTGAGTAAAAGATATGATAATGAATAACTCCAGCCTACAGCCGTCCCACACATACATACAGTAATATGTATGGCAGCAACACTGGAAAATCATCTGTAGTAGATGTTTGAGGTCAGTAGCACCATCAATATTTAGAGTTTAAAAAATATCTCAATAAATATCAGCTGATACTCCTAAAAACATGAGATTGAGAACTATGTAGTGTAATTCACTCAAGCTATGATGATGGCTATTAAAGTGTCTCGCAAACAGATGATTTTACATCCAGATTACAAATAGCACACTTATTTTCACAGATCCTGGTTTTCACTCACGTTTGGTTTTCCGACACTTTAACAATAAACACCATATTTGTATTACATGTAATTCTGCCCCTGACCTTTATGTCGCCACCAGTCTTGGGATGACTAAATTTACTGCCCTTAATCATAGCTTAGGAGTGACTGAAATTATGACAAGAATATTCCCACAAGGGATCTGAGACAAGAAGTAATGGATGTGTCTCTAAGGAAAATAGGACTTCACAAAATAATCATGTTATCAATCAAGTTAGTTAGGTGAGATTAAATGCACTCCAATTAAAGACTCACTTTTCAGTATGTATCAATGTCTACTC